AATGATACACCATGGTAAACGGTATCGGAAGCCCTAACTTTTTCATAGATTCATGTCCCAAATTGTCTAGTTTCAGAATCTGGAAACTGCAGGTCTCTAGCTCTTTCTGTTAAAAAGTTATTCAAAAAACATCCACCTGCACGGTTCATTGAAATGGATAGTAGTTTATGTTTAACTTTATTCAATGCTCTACTATAACTTTTTTTTGTAATTAGAACTTTTATCATTTGACATCTCCATTCAGATTCCACGCCTAATGTTTCACACTTGTCAAACTCAAATTTGTGATTGTGATTGATGACACGAGCTACTACTTCTGATGTTTAGAAGTGTTTTTAACCCGTATTGAATGTATAAACACATTTTCCTATTCTTCATCTCTCACTCTACTTTTGTAATTTTAAATGTATGTCATTTTGTTTTTCTGACGATGACAACAGTGCGTTGTCGAAAGCTTGAATAATAAAATCAAATTGAATTTTGTTACAGTTCAAAATGATATTGATAGCAGTACTGTACTCCTTCTTTCGCGTTGTTATACAAACTGCTCTTCCAAAGTCATTCTTATTTTGGACTATTTGCAGTGCTAAAACGTTGACCTATATTACCCTTTATTGTTGATGATATTGAGGGACACCAAAACTTGCCACTCCATGTCCATTTCCACCTGTAGAAACCGCCTTTGAATTGTGTCTGACATTGAGTGCCAAAAGCAGCTCTTGTATCAATATTACTCCATGAACTGTACTTTTGATAGACAGCTTTTCCGATGCCCAAACCACATGGAATCCAGTTTTGTGCAACGCATGGTGCTAGAAGAGCCAGTTCTGAACGACTCGTTTGCATTGTAAACATGGCGTACACCATAACAGCAATCAGTACTTGGTATTGTTGCATCTTTTGCTTTCAATCTCGCACCTATATAAATTGAAAAAGAAGAGGAAAAATCTCTCTCCCTCGAATCTAATGTCTGTTAAAAAGTCAAACTCAACTTAAACTAAACCTTTGTCTGTTTACTAAGCAGCATTTCTATTCAATGTGCCTATCAAACGTAGTTTTTCTGTTTTATGGTAACAAATCTGGTTCTAGATGGATTTCACACATATGAGCAATTTATAACCATTTCAATATTTTTACAAGTAAAGTTGCTAGAAATAATACTTAAAAATGTTGTATTTTGGCGCTCTTACCTGAAGATCTTTGATTAATCAATGTCTGTTAAATTACTTCGTGAATTTTCAGTTTCTGTTGTTGATTTTTGCTGTAGGAAACAGTGTGAGACATAATGTATTAATATGTAACGTTGGGAAACTTCCTTTGGGAAACTTCCTATCGTTCTAGATAAAGAATAGTGCTTTTATGAGGGCCGATATGATTCAGAGTGAAGGAAAATCGACAGAGAAAGTGTACAACTTTGCAACTGTTACATCATATATCTCATTATCAAATGCATATATTGTACATAAAACACTTTTTTCTTTCTATTCATCCTGTTTCCACGTCAGCATAGTGATATATTTTTTTTGTTGGGAAAATGCCCAACAAATCTTCATCTTGTGCATGCGACGGATTTCTTTCCTGACACAAAAATAATAACATATGCAAAAATAGATGTTTTTTCTGTGCGCGTGCATTAAAAATTATTAATAATAGTAGTACGCTGAGAAGAAGAAACAATATATATTGCCATCCTTATCATCTCATCAATCATAGTAATTTCCGAAAAAGAACAATGTATCTACACAAAATAAAGTTCTCTGATCAGTTTAAGTAAGTGTCTGGAAGGTGGG